CCCTGCCGCGTTGCTGGCTGCTTTCCTGGCACACTGGCCGGTGAGTCCAGAGACCTTCCCTGCTGCTCCAGGCCTTTGGGGGATGGAGCAGGCGGCACCGAGCGGGAAGGAAAAACAGCCCCCAGCAGGGCCCAGCCTGCTCCCTTTTTTGGTGGAAAAAGATGCAGGAAGCGGAGGTACAAAAACCACTCAAATCCACCCAAGAAAGGCGCCCGAGTGCCGAGCAGCCACCCCCACGCCGCCGATGTGCGGGAGAGGCTTGGGGGGGACCGGCAGCCCAGCTTTGGGGTTAAAATATGAGCTAAGAGGCTGTGAGCGGGATAAAGGCGTGGGCACGCCATCACCCCAGCTGTGCACACACATCTGGCAGGCCCAGCCCTCCCTGCACACACCCTGCCCAGCACCACCACAGCTCCCGGCAGATGCTGGAAGCCACAGGCAGCCTCTTGCCCCCAAACCCTGCCTGCGCCGCAGCGAGGGCAGGGGGCTCTGGGCGGGTTTTGCTCCCTTTCTCTGCCGCGGGCAGTCCCTGCCCCGTTGGCAGCAGCGGGGCTCGGCCACGGCTCCGAGCGCTTGCCCTTTGCCACCTTGCCGGGAGCAGGGACACCAGGCAAGAGCACTGGTAGCCACCACGGCAAAGCCAGGGCTGGTTCTCACCAGGCGAGAGCCCTCCCTCTCCTCACCCTGGTGTGGAAAACCGGGGAGCTTTGCCAGCTTGGAGGACGGAGGGAGGTCACTGCTACCCCAAAAACCTCCCACCAGTGCCCTGAAGCCCAACTGACCTGCCTGGGGCAGAGCAGAGCTGCCCCTCGCCCACACCGCATCCCGGGGACGGGTCTCTGCTCCCAGCGACGTACCGGGGTGCCTCGATGGGTGCATCCCGGGGGGAGCACCAGCCCCGGCGTCTCCCCCCGCACCACAGCAGGCGGCCGGGAGGGGAATGCTGGGCCATGGGGAGGGCTGAGCAGCTCTGGTTATTGGCCTGGGTTACATTTAAATGAGAAACCTCAGCCCTGGCTTGGGGGATTTTGTTTCCTTGGAAGCCGGAGCAGGCAGGAAATGAAGAAAACGCGGCCCTGCTCGTAAGCGTTTTACCAAATGCCGAAGGCAGCGGGAGGCATTTCCCCGTGCAGCTCAGGCTGTGGAGCATCGTCCCCGGCCACCACCAGAGCCGTGGCTCTGGGAGGAATCAGCTGGTGCATCCCAGGGATGAGAGCCTGACCAAAAGCTCTGCCTGGGGCGGGAGACCACAAAGAGCAGGGTGGAAAGCCCATCTCTCTAGCACCCAGCAGCCTCCTGTTTTATTCCTGCAGCAACATCCGATGTGGAAGGCGGCTTGGTGTGCTGAGCCTATGGCTGCCTGGACGGGGTGCAAGGACCCAGGGGTGGCAGCACCCTCTGCTCCCCCTCGCCCGCTCACCAAGGACTGGGCTCCCACACTGGCTTGAGGCTTTGTCTGAATCGCCCTGGCCTGGAGCCGGCAATGGGGAGCGGAATTTGGCCCTGGCCGCAGCCCCAGCTCCGCGCCGGCTGCCTTAAGCCCTCCACATGCAAGCGCTGGCCTTTGCGGGAACGGATGAGCCCAGCGCAGAGCTGCTGCCCTGCCAGACTGCAGAAACTTGAGCTCCAAATACATAATTCCTCTGGCACCCCGTGGTTATTTGTGAGCTGCTGTGAGCAGATGGAAGAGTTACAGATAAAGCCATCCGCAGCACGGGAGCCGATTGCCTTCCCCACACAACCGCGTAGGCAACAGCAAAGGCAGGGAGGAGGGAGGGGAAGGGAAAAAAAAAAAAAGGCAGAAAGCGAGAGAGAAGGAGTCAGCCATTTCTACAGGGGCTGAGCTGCCATCTCAGCACACCTACGTGCAAGAAACGGGGACTCTCTGCTGGCAGCGGGCCCTTCCCGGGGAGCTGGAAGAGGGTAGTGCTCTCCCACCACCCGTGGATGCTTGGCTAAGGAAGGCAGCGCGAGTCGGGGGTGACATTGGCAAGGCAAGCGCTGCCCCACACTGGGAGAGCAGGCTGCTAACGCTGATCAGAGCTGGCAGCGCCTGCACTCGCTTTGGTCCCAGAGGGGGAATTAAGGGAGAGAAGCTGACGTCAGTCGTGGAAAGGACACGCAGCCCACTCATCCAAGGCAGCCGGCAGCATCTTCGGGGTGTTGCTAACACCACCTTGAAGGAGAAAATTAAATAGGTCTTTGGAGACAGGGGCTCCTGTGAAGCCAAAGCCCAGCCAGCTGTGATCCAGTGCCGAGCCCCGTGGAAGAGACAGACAGACAGACAAGCACATCAAAGGCCGGGGCCGAGGCCAGAGTGCCAAGGCGCAGCAGAGCCCAAGCCTCTCCCCCAGCTGCAAGCAGCTCCTCCGTAAGACGCCGCTGCTCGCAGAAAGGGCTGGGGCGCCGAGGGCACCAGCACAGCATTCATCTTGCCGCCGGGCTTCTCCTCCCTGCACGGAGCTAAACCCCGAGCCGGGGAGCAGCAGCTTGTGGAGGGCAAAGCCTGGGGGCCCTGGGGTCTCCTTGCTGGGGGGCTACTCGGGAAGGGGGGTCTGGCAGCGAGATTGCCCCGTCTGTCTTTTAGGGGGGAGTAAACCAGCACGGCACTCACTGATACACCCCCCTTCCCGATTCCCAAAGATGACTTTCAAGGGCTGGTTCCCCAAAAAAGCAGCCCTGGCCACAGCTGCACCCATCCAAAGGGAGCCAGGGGCACCGGCTGCTCCTCCCGCATTCGAGATGGAGCCGAGAGCCAGGACACGCGGCACCAGGGAGCGAGGACGCCCAAGAGATCCCTCCTTCCCCTGCCCTCCGCACCCCAGCACGACTAAAGGGCTTGCTTGTTCCGAAGCTGGCAAGGCCAATTAATCTAATGAGGTTTTGCAGCCAGGGACTATTGTCAGCCAAGAAAGGCACAGCGCCGCAGAGCGAGCGCACGGGTGGCTCCTAGAAGCCAAGGGAATTTGGCAGAGCAAAGCTCACGGTAAAAGCAGGGATGAGGAGCAGCAGGGACGGAGCCTTTTGTTGCTCGCCACCGACCAGCAAGAAAATCCACCCGCACAACAGGCTGACGAACCAAGCCCTGACGAGGCACCTGAAAACCGGGCCAGGAGCCATGGCTGCTGCGGCTGGGGCCAGGCAGATTAACTGCAGAAGGGACCTTGAGCAGCTGAAATGGAGGCAAAAAAAAAAAAAAAAAAAAGCATCAGCATCAGCCCCCTCCCAGCCCAGCTGCAGCGGCTCCGCTCTTGCAAGATGGAGCACAGGCTCATTTCGTATGGCAGGGAGCACACCGGGGAGGCTGGTAGCTCCTCCTGGATAGTGCTTCCTTGGCGTCGACCACCACCCCCACTAACCCTCGACCCACCCCGGCACGGCCGCGCTTTGGTACGGGAAGAGGCTTCTGCCTGGACGATGTTTGCAAGATGGCTTGGGACCTGCTGGCTTTCTCCATCCCTCTGCCACCCTGCAGAGGGGACGCAGCCCCGGCGCCCTCGCCGAAACGCCAAAGGCAGCCCTGCTCCCCAAACGACAGCCCAGGAGCCCCACGAGGTGCCCTACAGGACACAAGGTGTGCGGGCACAGCCGCTGGCACGGCCCAGCACCTCCCCATGCACAGGACCTGCCACTTTCTGCCTGCGAAGGACCACAGCGCAGCTCCCCGACAGTAACAGACGCAGGCACCAGTTGGATAGAAAGGTTTTATCAAGTTTGCAGTTTTAAAAAAGGATCAAAAAAATTATTTATTTTTTTTTTTACATGTACATTACAAAAAAAAAAAATCTGTAATTGGGATTTTCATTCAGGGGTTACTGAGCTGATTATAAAAAAAAAAAAAAAATAAAGCAGCAGGAAAGCTTGGCTTACACAACAACCGACAGGGGAAAGCACAGACAGACATCGCACAGGCAGACAGGAGGCAGCGAGTCTGCACTGGGATGCACAGGTACGGGCACGGACCGGGCTCTGCTCCCCCAGCGGCAGCAGCTTTGCACCCGCTGCATCGTGCGCCCGAGGCAGCAGAGCCTGGCCACCAGTGTTTCTTTTGCACGGGTAAGAAAACCAAACAAATCTACAGTATTTTGCTCATGAGGTTGTGGGTGGGGTTTTTTTTTGTCGTCGTCCCCCCCCCCCCCCCCATTATTTTTCTTTTTTTCTAAGCAGAGTTTCACTGCTGAAACTCCTTTGGTCTGAAGTAACCCCCTGCACCCTGAGAGTTGCCGTCAGGCATCGCCCTTCCGACCCCCGGCCTGGCTGGGTCCTTCGAGGGCACTTCCCACCTCTCCTCCCACCACATCCTCTGCTCAGCAATAAACCCCTAAGATACAAGTGGAATAATTACTCTTATAAATATATTTATATCATGTAGGAAAATAAGGCACTTCAGGAGGGTTACAGCTCGTCTAATTCTATGACATTCTAATCAGGAAGAAAAATGGGTTAGTTTCTGAAATGAATTAAAATGAATGTTAATACAGTAATAAAAACATGGGATCCACTTCCCGCTTCAAGGCTTTGTTTTAAAAAGGAAGAGAAGGCAAGCTACCCCCCGAAATCCAACAGCAAGGAAACCTGACCCGGGGCAGCTGCATCTGCCCCACGCGAAGCCCTGCCAGCCAGCTCCCCACCGGAGCCCGCCAAGGGCAGGTACTTCCAAAAGAGGCATCTTAAATAAGTTCATGGACTGGAAAAAACCTAAAAAATATATATTTTTATCCTTTCCCTGAAATGACACTCCGCACAGTTTCTCGGCCATCTGGGACCTCCAGGAGCCCCTTCCCTCGATCTGGTCTGGTGCTTTGGGTCTGATAAGGAGAGGAGAAAGCAGTGAAGGTCACCGACTGCGGCTGAGGCTCCAGGCTGAGCCCAGGGAGCCGGGACGAGGCTTTCCCTGCGAGTGCGGGAAGGGGGGCAGCGGGGGAAAGGCTGCCGGGAGCAGCAGCCAAGCACTGCGGGCGAGGACACCGGGAGAATGTTTAACCAGGAGCGCGGCGTCGGGAAGAGGAAGGCAGCGGCGGCCTGCCCAAACTCGCTGTGTGCGGGGAGGGAGCAAGCACGCCCTGAGCAAACGGCTCCCAGGACAGGCGAAATGGCTGCTCCGGCTCTGCGGCTCCATACGGACACGGGTCGGGCTGAAATGGAAAGACGGGGAGGACCCCAGCTGCCCAGCTCTCGCTTTTTGGCTTTGTGAAATGCTTGAGGTTCGCCTGCCGTGCCGTTTGAGCCAGCCTCATGCGGTAAAAAGGGCGGAAGGAGTACGTTAACACGAAATGACAAAGATGGCAGGGGAGTCCAGCACAGGCCCTCGGTCTACATGGGGCAGCAGCCCTGCAGTTCCAGCACAGCTGCTCTGTCTTGCAAAGGTTGTTTTTGGCACCTCTCCTCTTCCCCTACTGGTTTAAGAAATATGAAGCTTACTTGGTGGCCCAAGTGCTCTGTGATTTTGCAACGATACTCCAAGATGGTCACGTTACACCAGTTGTTTCTCTGGGATCTTCACGCTAGGCTCATGCCATTTCTTTTTGCAATCAAAGTTTTTAAAAAAAGAAAACAAAACCAACCAACCAACCTTCCCTATCTGTCCACCACCCTCCTGTTTAGCATCCAGCAGTTTTGATTCTCACCTCGGGATGTGAGTCTGAAAGCAGAGGGTGGTTACAGCAGGCTTGCACGGACAAAGCAGCGTCCCTCCCGCTGCCAGGAGGGCTTTGCAAGCAGGCGAGGCAGTCGGAGGAGCCGACTCCACCCGCGGCCATGCCAGATCACCCACACAGCATCCTTGTGCAACAGGCAGCGCGTGGGGCAACCCTGTCCCCAGCGCCCCGAGGCATGGCCCTGCCTGACAAACCATCCATCTGGGTCACGGAGAATATGGCACTTTCCTGTATTTCACACGACAGGAATACTTGCTCCCCCTTTCCCAACAGGGGCCAAGTCTAGTTAAGGCAATTTAAAATTAACCCAGGTTTGGCATTTGCAAGCTCCTCGCCTCCCTGTGTGATAATGCTGTCAGCCCGGGTTAGCTTAAAGGTCCATTTTCCCCAGGAACCTGTCTCCGAGAGAAGCCAGGGGAGGATGCTTACAGAAAGAGCAGAAAAACAAGAGGCAGCGATTCTCCTCTAGCTCCCCTTACCCGGCTCGCAGCAATAATCAGTTTGCATTTCCAAGTCCCTCCGCTGCACAATGGCTCACTGGCACTCGAGGGGTTTGTTCCCTCTTCCAGAACCTGGAACTAGCGCTGCTCAGATGTTCCCAGCCCATCGGGATGCCTCACCGTCTACGCCCTTTGCATCCTGCCTAGCAGCTGATTTGCAGACAAAAATCTGATGGTGTAGCGGTCCAGTAAATCTCTCCTGATTGTGCTCAGGGTCGCGCTGGATCTCAGCTTGATCCGCACCCCAGAAAAGCCCATCCTCCAGGCCCTTATCTGCTCTTTCAAAGATTAAAAATGCACGCGCACACACACAAGGAATCAGTAAGAACTCAGTGGCACAAACTGAAGCCATCAATCAAACCCCAAGAAGGATTTTCAGCAACGCAGCAGCCTCAGGCTGGGCCTGGCGTTCCAGGTATCAGCAACATCATTAAACAAGGCAAGCCAGAGAAGAAAGAACAGGCACAGGCTGGCAAAATACTTTAAAATAGGAAAGGCAAAGGAGAGTTGCTCTTAATGGGGCATGCAGCTGGTCCCAACCCACAGCAGCTGGACCCATGATCTCCAAAAAGCTTTGGAATTGCTTTCTTGCGTGACCCTGGCTGAGAGAGTCACGTCCAAATTGAAATACACATCTGTAGCATTGGGGGTAGTTGTTTCTAGATTTACAAAATATGCTTATATTCTAGGTAAGGGAATATAAAACAGCAATAAAACCTAGGTCAGCTAGTTCAAGTTCTCCATTTTCTCCCCCTGCCAGTACTGCATCTGTACTGGGCAGCCTGGGAATTCATAGGGTTAGTGAGGAGAAAACAACAACATGTTTTCTTAAAATTAACTAATGAATTAGAACAACAAAATGATGGGAAAAGACGTAGGTTAGGTCTGATGTAACTGATGGGCAACTCAGTTCGCACACAAGACATCTTTAGGCACACAAACTCCCCTCCTTAGGTGGAAGGGAGGAGGAAGCGAAGGTAATACCAGCATTTTCCGCTACTCGAGTCCCTGTGTAGAAAGTATGGTCACCCGGCTAGAAAAAGCACCTCTTCAAACTGACTGCAGCATTGCCCTGAACAGGCCAAAGAAGATCAAAGTGCCTGGTGTTCAGAGGACCTCTCCCCACACCATCTCCCTGCTCTAGGCACTTTTCCCCCCACCCCCCTCTCTTTTTTAAACACACTCTCAGCATGAATTGGAGAAATCAGCCAAGCGGAGTTTTGCCACCGCTCGGTGCTGACCACACAGATGTGTCTCAGTGGGGCAGTGGCTCTGCTCTCCCAGAAGCGGGAAGCTGAGCAACCGTTCTGCTCCGGCTTTGCATCCCTTTGTGCAAGTCTCCTCTGGCAGACTTGGCGAAACAGTCCAGGAGATTTGAGGAAGGTAAAGGCAGCTTTTAAAATAGTAATAATAATAATTATAATTAAAAAAGTCCCTCCTCACATTGCACCCAATGCACTGCACAGCCCTAGAGCCAGGAAGCACACCCCACGCAGGGCCGTCTGGAAATAATACTAGGGGGTCAGAGGGGAAAGAATTGTGCACTATTGCCAAAACCTGATTATTTGACAGTGGGATGCAGCAGAGAACTGACATTTAAAGCCCATTTTCTTGCAGCACTACCAGTATTCACTGGAAAGGAAGAGCCATCAGATCAACTGTCTGCTGTTGCAATGAGAAAACTAGCTGAAAATGTCCTTCATCTGAAAGGCCATGCGGCCGCAACAGGATCATCCATCTTTACTTTAAAAATCCCTCAGGATGGAGGGTTTATATGTGCTCTGCCTGGTGGCATCGAGAATCTGGAGGTTTAGCTCTCTTTTAAATAAGTAACCGTTACACCCCCTCCAGCTAAATCCCGACACCGCATCCTCAGTGTCCGTGAGGAGACCTTTTGGAAAGGCAGAGCACAAAGTCCTGCCAAAGCCGGAGGGGTAGGAAGAGGGGAGATATGCTGCTGGTTGTCTGAAAATCCTTGGCACATCTTTGGTTATGGGATGAAAGAGGAAGTGGTGGATGGTTTGGCCACCTGATTCTTTAAGATGATGTTAACCCAGGAGAGGAGGGGAAGAAGGGGACGGGACCGTGGTTAATCCGACCATTCGTCCTCATCGAACTCCGAAGAGTCGTCCTCAGAGTCGCTGTACTCCACAGCGATGCGGCGTGACAGGATCGTTGCCACATCATTGCCCACAACGTCCCGCTTCTCCTGTTCCCGCTGCTCCTCCACCTTGCGGAGCTGGAAGCCTGTTGGGAAGAAGGCAACAGAGGGGATCATGCAAAGGCTTTGGTCACACTCAAATCTCCAAAGCAGCCATCCCTTTGACACAATCCTCTGAGCAAGGCAGCCTGTCCTCTGCCAGTGAGTATCGGACACGCTGTGGGATAACACTGATGGTGAATGACAGCCAAGGCAGGCTGGGTGGGCAGGAGGAATGGGAAGCGAATCGTTTCCGTGCTCCTCTGAGGGGTTCACACCATTCAATCCACTCGCAAACCTGGACCACACCAATTCCAGCACCAGAACCATCTCCAAAGGCGCAGGCGGAGGCATAAAACCTTGTGAGGTTGTTGTCAGGGTGGGCAGGCAAGGAGGGACCACAAGGGACAGGTCTCAAGCAGCGAGGCAGTCACACCGCCGCTCATGAGACGGCTCCCAAGTGCTCGTGCTTAGATACCGTGGGTTTTCTCCAGAGGCAAAGGAGAAGGTCAGAATTGAAACAAAACCTTACCTTGACGAATAGCTGAAAGTAGATCACTCCTGGCATCGCTAACCGCAGGCAAGGATGACTTGGGCTTGGAGGTGGAGGTGTCCAAGGGTGGAGGAGGGGGTGGGGGACCATCCGGGCCGCTGGAAGACAGAGGCGGTGGGCCAGGAGGCGGCGGTGGTGGAGGGGGGTGCTTCCCATCAGTGGTGGTGGTGGAGGTGGCGCCGGAGGGGGAGCAAAGCCCGGCCTGGCTGCTGAGGGGGATCCGATCGGAGGAGCTGGTGGTGGGTGACTCGGGCTAACCAGGCTGGATCGTTTGGTCCCTCCAGAACCAGAACCTCTTTGGTTGTCTACAGGATAGCTGTTGCAACAGAAGGAGAGAGAGAAATAAGGCAGTTAGCTGTGAGGTCAGATTAGACTGTACAGTCTCAATGTTAATGCAAATCATGTGTGTTTGTTGCAGTCCGGACAAAAATCTTAAGTTCCAGCTCTAACTGGTGTTTCCATGAGACCTCACTCCTTGGTTTTAGTTCCCTCGCAGTGTTGCTTTTGGCCTACACCACCAGAACAAAGGAAAGCTTCTGGGGACTTGCAGAAATGCTATCACCCGTCCCATCTCCCCGGCTGACAAGAACACGAGCCACCTCACCTCTCCACCAGAGGCCAGGCGTCACATCTGAGCTCAGAGCAGCCTCCTGGCTTAAGCGCTCCTGCAGCAACGCAAGCCACTACCCCTCCACGCTGAGGTCAGACTTACGACACGCCAAGCAGGGATGTCTACCATGATAAATCGCACAAGGACTGGTGGGTGTGCCAGGAAGGCATATGCTCTGAGCACCTGCTAGGAACAGATCTCTTCACTGGATTCCACAGCTCCAGCCCAGAACTGGAGTGCAGCAGCCGTGTCTCATAGCTCGCCGTGGGGAGTGAAGAGGAAGACATGGAAACCCAACGTGCTTTTAAGGAAAAGGCTGATTCTTGAGTGACTGAATCTCCCATTTATGGGAGCTGTGTCATACCAGAGAACGCTACTGCCCATAAGATACTGTAATATCCTACATACATGTAAAGGAAGCCATAAATTGACATCTCCTTCTATGGTAAAGAGAAAAATAAGGTACATTTGCCACAAAAATGTCGCAGCTTTTAACGGTGCACAGTGGTGATCCAAGACAAGACTACTGGAGATCAAACCTAGCTCCCAGGGTTCCTTAAAAACAACCACCAAAACAAAACCAGAGAGGGGAGATCTCTGTGGCTAGGCAGAGATCTAAGCAACTGCATAAGGCAGCCTAAGCTTCATCTGAAAGCTCATTTCTGCTCTGCCCTAGAGGAACATGCTGCAGAGTGGAGTGCTTGGTCTCTCTGACACATCAGAAGAGCTTTTTCTGCAGCATTGCTGCCTTTGGATAAGATGGAGACAAGCTAATGCAGCCTTGTCTATCAGACATACTTCCTCCTGTTACTCTCGACTCTGTTTTGCTGCCTTTAAAAAAAGAAAAAGCAAGCCACTCTCTTGTTTCACCCTTTGTGTCTTGAGCCACTGCTGGACCATAATTCTCGTCTCTAGAGGCGACTGAAGTCACCATTTCATCCAATACAAAGCAGCTGCCCTGAACTTGCACTGCAGTCTCTGGGAAGAAGTCAGCTGGTGTCCTCAAGTCCTTAAATTTAACTCCATCTACATCTTCAGCACCCACGTCGTGCATTTGTCCAGGATCACAGGGCAAACGGTAGCAAAAAACAGAGGCAAAAGAAGCCGTTCATTTGCACAGCCCTACCAGGAACGTAAGTCTACACGCTCTGGAACACTCACACAGTGGAGCCAGACCATTAACTGGAACACCACTCTTCTAGACAGTGGAATAAGTCTGTTCAAGTTCTTGCCCAAGCCCATTCTCCCCTTCTGTACAGAAACAACGATGGCGGTTGGGATTTACGGAGAGCTGTGCTGCCCGTGCCTCTGTCCCTGCCTGCAATTGCACTTCCCCTCCAGACAGGAGCATTCTGGTTCCCATACAACACCCGCTAGGAAGTTATGCTGAACTATCTCAGCCTGTCTCATGTCATCCTTTTACACCACCTACTACTCCTTGGTGACAGAAGGGATCCCGTAGGCTTACCTAAATTCCACCGGGGGCGGAGGCAGGCTGTCATCTGGGAATGAAGGAGGTGGTGGCACAATAGAGTCAGTCTGCGGCGGTGGCGGGTAGCAGTTCACATCCATGCTTTCATTTGAACCAATGCTGCCGTTCTGATACACCATGTTAGAGGGGTACCTGAGCGAAAGCAAGACAAGCAATTTATTTAAAAAGTTCAAGGCAATGTCTAAAGCTCATTTTTCCCCTCACTCACAAGAGCTTTGCCTCCTGGAAGGGTTACAACAAACAACCGTGCTGCAGTTCAACCACCAAACAGCAGTGATATCAACCACGTGGAGAGATCAACCTGCAAGATTTCAAAATGAGGTTTTCTAGCA